CGACCCTTTGCTCAACCACAGCTAGTGACAGTGTGAATGGTATAACCAATGTAGTCAATAGAGTGATCAGGCTCAAGCTTGCTCTTTTCAAAATTGATTTTAATCCCTAATTCTTCAAAGGAGTCAATTATCAGATCTTTGTGGTCACTAATAAAGAAACTACTTGACATGAGTAGAAAGTCATCAACATACACAACCACTCTCAAGCCTAGAGAACGTAAATATGCTGCTAGTGGTCTTAAAGTCTTATTAAAGTTGTAAGGGCTGCATGACAAACCAAACACACCACCTATAACATACAACGTTCCACAGAAAAGCTAAGTAATATCTATCATGGGGATGGACAGGGATATGGTACAAACCGTTCTTGAATCTAACGATATGAGTAAGTCATTTGGTTCAATTACATCAGCCACAGTCCTAATGTCCTTATTTTGTAAGCAAGTGAAGGGCAAAATGAGTTCAAATATCTAAGATTATGAATTAAACGGAACTTTCTGTTCTTCTTGGGAACACAACAAATGGGAGAAATGTAATCAAAAACATCACAATGCTCTATAATACCTTTTGACAACAGAGATTAACTTCAGAATCAATAAATTCACATTCCTTAAAAGAAAGGTCCGGTTTGGAAAGTTAAATATTTCAGGAGATCTGTTTATTGGGATATGAACACCCTTCTCAATCCACTGTAAGACACTCTGTGAAGCACCAATTCTCCTCCATGCGTCAGGATGTAAGCAACCCGCTACCATCTCATTTCAACAGTAGAAGGGAGGTAACTCTGTAGTCCTAATCCTCGTTGTCGTCGCTTGGTTGGGTGCGGCCTCTACCTCGCTTTGGGAAACCCCAATGTACAAACTAGGAATACACGTCACAATCACCGTGACCTCTCCCTCTAAAATTTCCATGGAAAAACGTAGATTTCCCCTACTGAAACTGGGCGTAGTAGAATTGTCTCTCTGGTTGACGTTGGATACCGCGGCAATGGAAGCAGCATTTTTCAAACAGTTGAGAACTGTACCTGTTAGTCCACTTGTGTTTGTTTGCATCACACAGAAATATCTCGAATTGGTGGGGTCCAATTGACCCTGTACAACAACAGCAGAGTGTTCATCCTGCAAATGTTTTGATATGCACTTTTGAAATCACAAACTGTGTGTTCATATCGTCGGGAGAAAGTCCGGATTTGACGATGCTTGCTAGCACTTTCAAACATGTCTCAACATAGCGCGCTGAACGACATAGTGTTATAATGAGATCTGTCACTCGCCCTTACGCCCCTCTTGGTTTCATTAAATCTGAGGTCAGGGGGTAACCTTATTCTCTGCAAGCTGTCCTTCACCGTAGGAACTCGCCTTGTATGTCAACGTCCACTGGATCCAGCGTTGGATGAGCGGGTTGACTGGTAACATCCGGCCCCGCTCGGTCAGTTTGATGACCCTCAGGAGCGGCTGCACTGTTCTGTAGGTCACCAATACACCTCTCTAAGTGGTCCTGGCATCTCAAAACATAATTGATCTTAGAACAAAGTTCAGCAATTACCGAATCTCTGGTTAAACTTGGTGCGTTATTCTCATCTGACATTTGACGTCTGCTCGCGGGAATGTACTGAGCATGATACACTAGCAACACCTGTCGCTAGACGTCACATGACTGGTCACGTGATTACAGTATCGTTCTTTCATGTGGATGTTCATTTGTGCTAGCATTCAACAGAATCATTTGTTCGAGGTGAAGTGTAATGAGACCGACAACATACACTAGGTTGCACTTAGAGCGTACGTGTGAAATATAATTCACGTTGGCAATCTATAAAATGTCTAGATATTACAGTCATGATATAATTTCACTATATGTAAAAGCAGATGGTGTGCTTTTTATTAAGTTTCAAAATGCTTACAAATATGATAATAAACTAATTAGGATTCTAAGACAAAATATAAAGACGTACATTATTTTTCAGTTTCTAACATTTTTTATCACTGGCAGATGGTTAAACTTCAAAATGTTTTCATTTGTTATTGTAATAATGAAGATGGAAATATTATCGAGTAAAAAAGAGTTCATCTTTGTTGATCAATCTATACTTATACATGTACTATCAATTGCACATGCGAGTTTTGCAGCCGAGGACACGAACCAGTCAAGAATTCTGGGATATCATCCGGGTACTCACGGGTGAAAAACAATAACAAAAGCAACAACTCTGGATCAGTGCCCCTTTAAAACACTCAATTACTATACCATGAAACCTGCCAACACCAGCACACAGTCAAAACCTGCATAAAATTTTGGTCCCGCCATTTTACAACCATATTAGGATCAATAAAACATTGTCTAATCCGGCACCTGTCTATTCCATATTCAGGCACAACTTCCGGTCCCAACAAGCAATTTTAACTGTAAATAACACTGTCTAAACCGCCATGGGTATGAGCAGTCCAATCAAGGACCCATACTCCAATACACTAATTAATCCTCTTGGCATGCTAGATAATCAGGAAGTAGTGATTGCGTGGTGAATCAAACACTCTAAGCGGGCATGGGTATGAGCAGTCCAATCAAAGTGAAGTAGACAACTTTAAGTGCAGCCTTTCCTTTTTGATTGATGATTATCACCTGAGGATGTTTTCAAATGCAATGAAACGGGTCTTGCGCTTTATGCGTTACCTGACAAGACACTGTCTACTAAGACTGATGCTGCTAAAGGTGACAAAATTTCAAAGAATAATTATCTGTCATCAACATTGTTTTAATTTGTTGCAAACTTACAAAAGATTAAAGGCATTATAGAGATAAAGAGGTTGACGAGCGTAAATGGCAGCCATGTTGGAAAATGATTGTCACTGTCTAATCTGGCACCCTGTCTAAACCGGCAAGGACTGAGGATGTCACTATCTGCATTATTTGAGGAAAGTTGCTGCGCCAGTACCAGGGGACCAAACTGATGGAGTCCTTCTACGTCAGTCACTGAGAGATCGTGCAGGTAGTGGGAGGCAAAAACTGTCTCTCTCCAAAAACATTCGTCTATAATAGATGTCAGAAAACAATTGCTGTGAAGAGCCATTGTTGATGCTAAGGCCCAAGTTGAAAACTGTGGTAGGGTAAAAAGTCTATCTGGATGTCCTGGCAGTTGGTTCTTTGCAATGAAGTCTAATCGGAGACCCAGAAAAGCTGCCATGCTTCTTCCTCTTGAAATGTTATCAATTGAGGTCCAGAGCATGGAGTTCAAAGTGTGATGCACTCAAAGTCCTTCTCTTCTTGAGGTTCTTAGTCGTTGGAGACAAGGTGTCGAAGGACAACAGAGAGGTCCTAAGCTGGAAGTTGGAACTTTTTTGATTGGTCAGATAACTTGTATGAGCGCAGAAGGGACTGGAGTTCAGCTACAGTGGAAATCTTATTGCCAGTTGCCATAGCTATCACCGTGTTGATTGCTGCTTAATAGGTGGCAAGAGTAGACGCCTTCAACTTCCTCGCAGATGTTGTAGGTAGTCCGCAACAACCTTGGCAGAGGCTGTAGTAGGAGATGCTACGCCCTTCAATCTGCAGTAATCTTCGCACTTCTTACAGAAGGGACTGGAATTCAGGTACAGTGGAATAAAATACAAACAAACAATGGTATTGGTTTTGAAGCATTTACTGCTAACAAACGATGGGGGTCACTGACACAATTTTTACAAATATGGAAACGTCATAGAACAAAACAGATGACGTCAATATTGAGCGTGATGACATTCGACCTTGACCTTTGCCCATACTACCAGCCGCCATCGCTTTTCAGCGCTCAACAACGTTAGAATTCCAGTCGATGTTTTCATTGCTGCATGTTGTAATTCATGGTACAATTGTTAAGGTTGGCACCAGCAAAAAAGTAGGTAATGACACATGTACATTTGGCGAATGTGAGTCAGAAATATCGTCAATATTGAACCCAAGTTCAAACGAGCTGTAGGTGACTGAACATCAAGAGCTGAGCTACTTATGACATCACCTTACAAGCATTTCAGGGCATTATCAAGTTACAGTGGCCCGCTCATTTCTGATAACATTCGGGCGTTTTAATGACAATTCTATCCATTTTAGCTATAATGTGAGATAACTCTGAGAATTGGTCACGGTAATGAGGGCCATGCCATTATTCGGGTAGGTAAATTGCCCATTGCAGAATTTCAAAATGTGAACCAAGCTTTTTGAAATTATTACATATATGTTTTCCAATTTTTAGTTAAGGATGGGTGTTAAAGGCAATGAATAAACAAAATGCTATTTGTTATTACTGAACCCGGTGTCTGTTTGTTATTGACAGTGTTACCACCCACACCATTTTGGGTGATACCACTTGAGATTGGAATGTGAGGCCGCATCACGTATTGATGCGTAACTAAAGAAAGAAAGAGTTCCAACAGAAATTGTACATAAAACTATCATGGTAGAATGGAGATAAACCTAATGTGTTTTGAAATTAGAGATAGTATATACAGAATTATAATAGCTCTGAATTTAAAGACTTAGAAAATTAGAGTCATTACAATTATGTTATACTACCTCTTAATTAAAACACAGTAGGTTTATTTCCTATTTGCTTCAGTATAATTCACTTACTAAGAAGAATATACATTTCATTTGTAAGATACAGGATAAGATTCCTAAAACTATGACTCTGATAAAGCACCTCTTCTTGCTATGCCTAAGGCACAACATACTTGTTTACACAAAATATAACAACACAAATGCAAATGTTATTTTTGATGGTCTGTTGAGATTCACAGAGGGAAAGCTTGAAGAAAGCCCTCCACCCAACAATATATAATCAATCTCTAAGACATGCAGTGAGGTGAGAGTAGTCATAAACTTAGAATACAATGTTGCATACTTTGGTTAGATGCAAGGGAAGCCTTAAAACAATTCAGCAGGTCTATCCATCGATCTGAAATGATCACACGAAATGAGAAAGAATAGAACTAATTCTGCAATTACAGAGAAATCAACTTGAGTACCTGTGAGAGTGGGCTCTTCTGTTATTGTTGGTCTCCCAGTCATTCGAATGGAAACTTCATCATCTAGCTGCAGTTGAAGAAAGGTGATGAACTGTAACAACTGTTCTATTTCATCCTGTAGAGTGGATCTGAATCATAGAAAAACAGTATTACCTCTATAAAATCCTCATATCATTTCCTGGTTTACCAGGATTAATTACAGGCTGCCATGTGATAGTTTGAATACTGCTAAGTGCGTTGTTCCAAACATTAATTCTGACAGATTGACACTGACAGATTTCATCTTCATCGATACAGACATTTCAATGCATGAGAAGGCGTTAAGGATAGAATTTATGACAAAAATGCAATAGGGGTAAAAGTAAGAATTAAGACCATCATATGACCATTATCAATGCAATATGGGCATTGTCACTTCAGGTCAGTGATATGTATTATTCATTTATTCAAATGTACATCATCATCACAAAGATTGAAACTTTGTATAACTTTTCATTTAACTTACTTGCAAGATTGATAAGTGTTGTTGGTAAGAACCCTTGAATTTGAGCTTAAAAATATACATCTGCTGTGCAAGCTATCCGTACAATATTTTGACACACAATGCACCATCAACATTACAAATACTAATATTAATTTCTGTGATTTCCATATCATTTATACTCTGCTCAGAGAAGAATTTGCTCATTGTACCAAATGTCTGGACAAATGTTCTTTTGCATACTCAGTGGTCATTGCCTGGATCAGTCTACAACACCCCTTTATGCCTGCAGTGAACTGTCTACTTTCACTCACAGCTCAAAACCTATGTCTTCTTTCTCCAAGTGAGTTCTTGTTTTAATGCTCTGAGTATTCATGTATATAAATTAGTTTGTTTTACCGATTTAAATAAATTGCAGCAGAGAGATACTGGATGGCCCTTGCACAGTCAGGCTGGTAAGGCTCATCATCAGGTCAGGAACCCTTGCCCCATCTACACGCAGCACAGTCAGTGAATGGGATATTTACAAAGCTTGTAATTTTGTAAATTTAGGAAGGATTTTACCACTACTCCTTTCAGTTTCTCCTTTTCCCAAGGATCCCCTGTTTTAATGGCTCTCTGATGTCAATGTCAGAAGCAGTGTATAGACTTAACTATTTTAACAGTCAATGATAATAACATAGAAAAGTCAAGATTTTGTCAGAGTGGTGCTCTTGAACCTACAACAGAGATCATTCTGGACCACTAAAATATGAAATGTATCCCTTCAGTGAATTCACGCATATATATGGATTAACAAACATGGTCCATAAAAAAAAAAAAAAAAAAATTGAAATAAAACATCACCAAACATTATGATTTGCCATTTAACTTATATCTCCTGTTCTGCCATGTATTATCTAATATGCATAGATTAAGATTACCATATATATTTTCTCATACACTAAGCCCGAAATTGCAATCCTGACTCATACTACATGTGTATTTGCTTCTTTCTCTCAACCCGAGATACATTGGAAACAACTGTTATGTTCCTCAAGAACTATGAAAACATCTCACCAGTATGCATCCTACAGGTGCGCATGTGCATTTCAAAATTTCCAAGTAAAAAACAAAAGTAGTGGAGAGCAGGGATCGCATATGAGTCAGAGTAAGTACAAATAATATTTTTACTAATTTTTTTTACATATTTCACCTTATCCTGACTCATACCATATTTTTGCTTGAATCAATGGCCAGCAATCCAATTTTGAATTCATGTATTGTTCATTTAACCCCAAAAAGGAACTTCCAATCTTCTTGAATCTAGATGAAAAGGGGTAACACCTTACTTTTTTAGCAAAAAGAAGAAAATCATGAAGATTTCATGAATAAGGCTTGCATTGAATATGCTAAGATTAGGTTGTAAATTTAACCGAATCATATCACTCAAGCTCTGCATTAGTCAAACATGGGGGCATTGACACTAAGTCCTTGGTTATGGGACAGTAACCTGACTTCTACAAGTCTATGTGATCGTGGGTGAGAATGATCTTCTTGAAGGAACTGTCAATTGTTGCACTATTACCAAAGGTCCTGTAGCAAAATCTCTTAAATATTGGTTGGCAAAGACAATATCAGACTTCCAGAAACATCCTTCCATAATAGATGTGATGGAGCAGTTGCAGTGAAATGCTAGTGAAGATGCTATGACTCTATCTTTGTTTGGATTTAATGCTTTAGGGGTATGGAGTCCTGCAGCTCTTTAGGCTTTGAGAATTACAGCCCTCATCCAAAACGATATATAGTATTTTTTTTTTTAGAAACTTCTTGAAAGACTTGATAGAGCTATGAATATCATATTTTTTTCATTTATCTTCTTCTTCAAGCCACTTTATGCAGATAAATGCAAAGAGCTCTGACCGGACAAAGTAGTACTAGTATATGTTCTATATCTACTGATCCAAGGATGGATTTTAGAGCTGAAATATGCAGCTCTTTATCATGTTGCTCTGGAAGCTGATTCTCTGTGAGAGTTCAATGTCATCTGATTCTACAACAGATGAGACTGTTGGGACTTGAAGAATGTTCAGGTCCGAAATATGAACTCTAAACTTCTTCTGTTGATCTTTAAATCCTGTGAGGAGGCGATGAATTTCAAGCCCTTGGTGTCACCATTTCGTGTTGTCATTTTCGTTAATCTGCGATGATCCCTGACCATTCGGAGATGGACACATTTCTATTCTTGTACTGCATCAATGATAACTCCTATGATGTGTCAATCTGAACAGTAGCACGTACAGTCTTCTAAAAATGACGACACAATCCCTTTGATGACATCTGGTTATCTTACTGTTATGGCTTTGGTGGTAGCTACAAATACTCATGCATCAATCAACTCCCTTATTCTTCAGTTATTGTGAATCCTGCATTAAGGGTTTGTTTCTAACCCCGAGATTTATGACACAGGATATGCAAAACAAATCTATGAGAACTACATTTTGCCTAGTATGTAGTCAAAACTTCAAATGTACATCAATTCATATGACAATACAGTGAAACTGTATAGTAGACAATGTGGTGTGCCAAGTTTCGAGTAACTAACAGTGTACCTCTAGCCAACTTCCTGTTGAATGTATTATGTCATCGGTGCATTGTCAGGTGGATCTCTGGGATATTTGATGTCTGCAACTGAAATGACTAACACGGCACAAGTGTCATATGCAAACTTTGTATTGTGAAAGGTCAGCAGATGATCATTGTAGTCTTCATTCTATTGATCAAATTAATATTGAGGTGATTATGCTGTGAGAGTAAATTATCGAGCTGTGATCGGTCAACATCATGCTCATAACCTCGTATCTCTCCGATAATCAAGTTTAGGGTTCATCACATCAGTCTTGCTTTTGCTCAATGTAGATTCATGAATTCTTCTGTGAGGGTGTGTAGGGTCTTTGATTCATCACAGATGATGCTGGAGAAAGGAAGCTGCATGATTCAGGACCTTCCAACACTTCTGGCTGTAAAACCGTTAGCCTTCATGATCAATCTTCTGTGCCTTCTGAGACTCCTGTGTGCACGTCACAAATCTTCTTCTAATGTAGGAGGGGGTTTAAAGTAAAGCTGTGTATCGTGGCCTAAGTGGCGAGACGATATATCCCGATACTAGTTTAATGAGGCGAGACGATATATCATGAAAGTATTGGCAAGGAACCTGCGAGACGATTATCATCACGATACAGTGATGGCGATACGATACTTATCCTGATACTTTACAATCCTTAAAACAGGACGTACATGACAGATAAAATGACTGAATCTTTATTTGTTATACAGCAGAACAGGTGTTACATTCACACACACTTAAAAGGCTGTTCATGTAATAAAGTTTCAGCATTTAATGCTTAAGAAAGTACAATCACACATATTCAGTACACCTTGATCTAGGTTTCCCTTGGAAAGTTGTGTTTCTGCACCAATGCTTTCACAGACAATTTATACAGTAATTTATACCAGAATCACTGCAAAAAACTCATAAGTATGCTTTCTAAATTTTAGCTTCTCTTTCTTAACAAAGCTAAGACACCGTTCATAGTTGTTAATAAATGGTGTTATTTGTCAAACAACTAAAACATGTTTCAATTACTTAAAGACAAGTCTTTACAGTTCACAGAGATTGTTTACATGCTTTCACTGATACACTAACTCCTTTGTTCATGTAACAAAGATGGCAGACACAAACAAATTCCTTTTAGGTTCAGTTTGTTTTTAAAATTCAGAAAAGAGACTCCCTTCCTATTACTTATGCAATACTCCCTACAACTTTAAGTAATATTTAAGTAGTATCGGGATATATCGTCTCTTGTGGCGATAGATCGATGTATCATGGACCCTCGCGATATAAATATCCTGATATATTGCCTAAACGTGTTTTGTATCGATGCACTCGTATCGCGCAGTTGACGATGCAAACATCGATACTATCGATGAATCGTTACACCACTAGTTTAAAGCCCCTGAAGTGACCGTTGGTTCTTCACTGTCTCCTTTAACTTTGCTTATTTCTGAAGATTTTTCAGATGAAGGCTTTCTCTTGATCTGTATCTCGCATGTGACCTTCAAATTTGCCTCAATTTACCTCAGTGGTAGAATTCTGTGACGGCAAGGCCTCTACCGACTGAAAACAATCCATGTTAATAGCGGGAACAACAATATCTTCCTGAGGGGAATGAATTGGAACAAATGATGATTGGGACAATGACCTTGTGTTTTTTCCATCTTTTATTGTCCATCTTTCTCCTCTACACTGCAAACAGATAATCTGCAAAATCATTATCCCCAAGTGGGATAAACTACAGTGTACCCTGCTTATAATGCCTCCTGGATATTACAGGTCATTGGCTCCCTCCCTCTGCAAGCATTCTGCGTTCTGCTGTTTATTTTGTTGACAGTTACATAGACAGATTCTTTAATACAAATGCATAAAATTGGTCATTTACAATGTGATTAGGTTGACTGACGAAACATCCACTTGCACAGTTTGAGATCGATTGGGTCATTGGATGAAGAGATATTTACAAAAAAACGGGTCCACATGCATTTCATGCCAAACTATAAGTGTTACTAATCGTCCGCGACCTGGTGCACCACCTGTGACGACAGTTCGACAAGACCGCAATATTCAAGTTTCACGCTTGTGAAATCGGTTCCAAACAGCTGCTGATATGGCAATGAGGACAATTGGGACAAGACAACATCATGTCGGCGCCAAAACGGTGCAAAGACGCCTTGCTGCTTTAAATATCCTGTGTCGTCGCCTGTACCATGGTCCAACCTTATTGCATTGCAACAGACTTGCCAGACAGCGATGGGCAGCTAATGGGGATATCTTGGCAACAGGAAATGGCGAGATGTCATTTTTTCAGATGAATCCAGGTTTAACGTATCCTTTGCAGATGGACGTCGAGGAGAAAGACATGAGCCAAAGCGTGTCCTTGAACATGATGGTTTTGGAGGAGGTGGTGTCATGATCTGGTGTGCTATCAATGCTAACTTCCAATCCAAGATGTAGTGGTTAACAGCAATCTGAATGCTCAATGTTATGTGGAAAAACATTCTTCGTCCAGCTGTACTCACAATGATGGATCAACATGGCGGTCGTAACCTTTTGGGTTTCAGCATAATAATGCACGTCCCCATGCAGCCAGGGTAACAAGGGACTCTTTGAATAATGAGAATGTTCATGTGATGGACTGCCCTTCATTGTTCATTGATGAATTTGGATGGCGAGTTCGAAATCAACTTGTGCCAACAAAGACAGTTGCTGAATTGACTCAGGCCCTTCAACATCACTGGTAGACCATCCCACAGCTGTTCCTGAGACATTTGTGCCTTTCAATGCCCCGGAGACTGCGAGCATGTCTTGCAGCGCATGGTGGACACACACGATATTGACTGTATGTGACCCTTGCTTTGTTTGATGTCGTTGTTGCGTCACTGATGCCTTTCAATGCCCCGGAGACTGCGAGCATGTCTTGCAGCGCATGGTGGACACACATGATATTGACTGTATGTGACCCTTGCTTTGTTTGATGTCGTTGTTGCGTCACTGATGCTGTTGTTAATAGGACATTTTCAGATGAAATTATCCACAGACGTTCACTTAAAGCATATCTGCCAGTTACATTTATATATGTTCATATTTGTGTGAGTAAAGAAAGTATGAGTATCGAATTGTGTTTTTAATGGCTTTCAGTATAGTTCCAGACATCAGGGTAAAAATAATGATTGATATAAGGAACTGAGTTCGAGACATTGGGGTTCGACTGTACCTGGTTATAATGCCAATCTGGATATAATGCCATTTGCCAATGGTTTTTGAAACAAAAGTCCACTGGCTGCATGTAGTATACAAATATTATATAGAGTATGATGCCAACAAGAAAGCCTGGATGACAGGAGCCACCTTTGCTGAATGGTTGAACAGGTTTATTATCTATATTGTAATGTTTAGGGACACATGATGAACATAACGGTTGTGGGTCCCAGTCTCATATTGTAAGATCAAATTAAACTTATTTATTTCTATTTGAAATTATTTTTTTTGATAGATATGATGCATAAAGGGCCTAAAGAAATAATCTGATCCTAATTTATGCAACAAATTAATAGTTTTGATAGGATGGGTTGAATTAGAAACACAGAAAATTATTCCCCAACCATCCCGTTTGGCAATAAAGGAGAGAGAGATGATAACTAGCTTGTCATGTGGGACGCTGGTGCACATGCACAGTGGGGGGGGTGCATTCAGGTGAGATGTTTTCACAGTTGTTGGGGAACATAACAGACCTTTCCATTGTTTCTTGGGTTAAAGGAGAGAGAAACAAAAAGTATAACTTCAGTGTGAACAATACTGAATGACATTAACAATAAAAACATGAATCAAGATATACAGTTTTGGATACATTCAGACTAAATTTCAGGTATTAAATGCTTATGGTAATGACTTTGCAATTTTCTAGTTACAGTAAAGGTTCAGTAATTTCCGCTTTTGTAGGGAGGCTTATGTAAATCAGCTCACTTGCCAGTGATAGCAAATCATCATGAAAGCCGACAGAGAACTTTAAGTGAGTACTGTCATAAAGCCACAACAATTCAGAAAAAATATTGGATATATATACACAGCCTGGAATGCCATCATTTCATTTAGAAAGTTCAAAATTTTCCTGTGTGAGTCCCCACAAGACCCCTATCAGTGGAAGGGTGCTCCCACCCATAGTCTGCCCTGGCAACGCTGCAGTCAGTGCCCTATTGAGACACCAGTGCTGGGACACAGGGCCCTAATCACATAAAATCCAAAATCATGCCTGGTTCAATGTGATAATCTGACATTCACCTGGACATTTGGAAAGGTTCTGTCAGCATACCTTGCAGGTTATAGTGAGTGAGTATAGTTTTACGCCGCTTTTAGCAATAATCCAGCAATATCACGGCGGGGTACACCAGAAATGGGCTTCACACATTGTACCCAGGAGGGGAATTGAACCTGGGTCTTCAGCGTGATGAGCCAACGCTTTAACCATTAGGCTACCCCACTGTCCCTGTAGGTTATAGAACACAAATTAAAAATGATCACCTAAGTAAGGAGCTAAACTCCAGACTGTGTGTGTGGCATTGCTTTAACCATAACTGTACAACCTAATGAAGATGTTGATAGTTCAGCTTATTGACCAGTCTCGGCATTGCTCACCTGAGATGCTGCACAACATCATCCAGCTGCAGGTAGTTCAGCTTATTTCTCATTCTCTGCATCTCTTCACTTAAGTCTTGGAATGGTATGCTAAAAGTAAGAGTCAAACAATGTGGATTTTATATCAGTTTGTACATTACAATATTCAATTACATTATTGAGTCACAAAACTTTAAAATAACGTAATTTATAATTTAACTTGCAAGATATTTTGTAAGCATAATGTTAAAGCATATAAACTTTTTATCTAATTGACCTTTGTTGTTGTCAAAATGATGCACGACATATTCACAAAGAGTACCTGGGAGGTACTTCTTTCCATATCTGATCACAAGTAGGGACAAAACACATGAAACTAACCAACTGCATCTACACTAGTATCGGACATGTAGAGAGACAATCTGATGTGCGGGAGAAGGCGTGGCAGAGGGAACAACCACAACCAGGGAGTGACCTCACGCAGGTTCATGACCAGCAGACTGCACGACATTGGCCTGGGAGAGGAGGAAAGCAGGAACCCCAACACCAAGCGGCACACTGGTAGAAACTGTAGACTGAGGTAACAACATCCAAGTTGGGAGAATTATTTTTGAAGGTAAAGTCGCAGCAGAAACAGCCACTGTAGATAATGAAGTTTGCCAACTAGCAAACAAAGTCATGTTGACAGCAGGCATACACATCGTCGTAATAGGGGCCTGTGAAATAGTGATTAACGTTGTCAGACTGGACTTAGATGGGGAGGTCCAAGGTCCAAGTCCAGGGCCACTTCCAGAAAATCTTCATCAGGCGATGGCGACTTAGATCGACGAGCTGTTTGCTTGTAGGGACGATCTTTCCTTGAGAGCTTTGACGATAAGGGACCCTCGGAAAGCCTCCGATGGTCTCTATCCGTCACTTGTCTTGAACCAACACGACAATAAGCAGAAAAAGCATCATCATTGAGATGAGAACAGTAGGAACATAGGTGTGACCACTCACACCAACCTACACAATCAATGCACAATGCATGCGTGATAAATGGCAAACAGAGGGAAAAACACATGGCCACCTCGGTGAGCGACAAGAAAGAGAACAAACAGTTGTCACTAAGGTGACATAATCCCCAGCCGCCAATTATCAAATCAAACTTAAAAAGTAATGAAAGTGAAGGTCGTAGTTAATAAGATGAAGTTAAATGTCAACAAAAACATGACCAGTCAACCTCTCTTGATATCTTGTTCTGTAGCTGTTCAAACACACAAATATTTTCAAGACTCACTTTGACCTTGACAAAAATGTCATGGTGTATCAAATATGCAAAAAAATAGTTATAAAGAATTGCTTATCAAATAAACATTCAAGAGCAGTCTAGAAAGTATACGAAGAAAATCCAGTGAACCATTCTTGAGATATCTTGTTGACAATCTTGACATACTGAAGTCTTCAAAGTGTTGGTGTGACCTTGAAATTTATATGAAGGCCACCAAAATCGACTGAGTCCTATATTCCCTATATGAAGCTTGGTGTCAAACATGAAGAAAATCCAGCATATGGTTCTTGAGGTATCTCGCTGACAAGTTTAACATGCAGGTTAACATGCTGAAATCTTCGGAGCGTCACCGTGACCTTGAAAATTAAGTGAAGGTCACTGACATTGACTGGGCCCTGCACATTCCCTAGATGAAACTTCGTGTCAGATATGAAGAAAATCCAGGGGAACGGTTCTTGAGATATGTCGCTGACAAAGTAACACTATAAAGTCCCCTTGTGACCTTGAAATGAAGATCAAGGTCACCAAACCTGACTGGGATCTTTTGCATACTGTGATGAACCTAGGTACCATGTATGAAAAGAATCTAGTTAATGGTTCTTAAGATATTCCAATTCATATGTACGTATGTATGTATGGACGGAGCTTATTGCTATATCCCCCACTTCGCGCTATACGCATGGCTGGGGATAATGACAGCAGTGAGATGTCATGTGACCATCTGAGAGCTTAACACGCTTTACAGACATGATTGACAGGTCCAGCAATCGCAGTGGGGAGAGAGATGTCAGTGACAGAGGCCAGAAGATTTGATTCAACTTAACCTACAGCACGTTTCCACACCTTGGTTGAAGAAGAGAGAGAAGTGCATACCATGAGATAGGATAAGTTTTAAAATTTATGTTGTGATTAGGACAGTTGATGATGTTGTCTGAGACTGCTGATTTTTGGTCTGATTTTGTGGTAGATGTTAAGTGTTCTTTGATTCTGATATTTATGGGCCGGGAGTAGGGCTCTGACGGGTAGCAAAAATCGGACTCAAGTACCCAGGGGATAAAACCCGACCCGGACTCGAGTACCTGACACTTATAGTGTAAATGTTAGTGAGAGCTATGTGTTTGTTTTAGGTAGTTTTCAATGGAATTTCACGCAAGAATAAATTGAAAACTTTCCTTAAAACACGTGGTTATCAATTTGACGAAACACAAACCTAAACTCATGATTTGACTAGCATCGGTCAATGCAGGGTCACATTCTTCAACTGAGCACTGGCGCAAACAGCCCACAGCAGAAACCGATTCATGTGAGGTATAGCGTCACGTGTCGCAACACGTGGTTATGAATACACAAAAATCGAGGGTTTGTAAAGGTTTGAGACTGGGCTAACAATGAGGTTCAACCCACAATGCAGAGAACAAAATTCAGAAAAAACAAGCCATTGTCAAAATCAGAACATTTATTAAAGCACATTTCGTTTAACCAATATCAAATGTGAGTTTCTTTGAAAAGATTGCACATTGTAACAAAGTGCATCATGGACGATCGTCCACGCGTCTTATGGTAAGAACACATGACTTTAGATCCCACTCGTCTGTGATGTAATGCCCTGTGACGGTGATGTATTAAACCGTGGGTGGCAAAGCTGGTCCAGATATCTGTTGTCAAAGATACGCCAGGTGACTCCTATAGAATATCTTGAAGCTGAGTTTTGGTGTCGGCATATTACTTCATAACGTAATCATGGAGGGTCTTTGGGCATGTTACCATACTCAGCAGCAAAACAAACGTCAGTACGTATCCAAATTAGATAGGCACTGTAATCAAATCATTACAGAATTTGACATAAGCAGATCAAAAACATGTTTGTGTACAATATCTTGACACATCAATGAATAACTCAGAAGAATTTCAAGACATAATAATAATAATAATAATAATAATTGATTTATAGAACGCCTATTTCCAAAGGATATTGCTCAATGGCGCTATGAAGAAAAAAGATTGTAGACAATGTCTATGGAAAAGAGAGTTTGAACAGATGAGTTTTGAGGGCAGTTTTGAAAGCATCAGCAGATTCTATTTCTTTTAGGATGAGTGGCAGAATGTTCCAGAGATAGGGGGGGGGGCTGCAGCAGAGAACGCTCTTGATCCCATGGCTGTTTTGACGTGAGGCTGTGTAAGCAGTAGGGAGTTTGACGAGCGGAGCAATCGGCTTGGAACATGGAGATGAATGAGGCTTTTAAGATATTGAAAAAACATGTTTTCATAGATGCAGCTGTGTGTAAGAAGAAGAAGTTTGTATTGAATTCTGCTTGATACAGGAAGCCAGTGAAGAGTTTGGAGGATAGGTGTCACAGTTTGGTAGCGTTACGTGAACGTTTGCAGTCCATTCAGACCTTTGACTTCAGTATCTAGTGTGACCACCACGAGCGGCAATAGCTGCAGCACAGCATCTATGCATGGAGTGCACCAATCGATTGATGAAGGCCATTGGTACTTGGAACCACACTCTGAGAAAGGCCTGGCGCAACAAATCGGCTGTGTTCGGCCTTGGTATGACATTATTCAGTCTCCTCTGAATTTCATCTCAAAGATGTTAAATTTGGTTTGAATCAGGACTAAGGGCTAGCCACTGCATAACGTTGACACCGTTCTGCTGTAGGCAGTCCCATGTAGCTCTGGCAGTATGGGCCCGGGCGTTATCATGCTGGAAAATGTTGTTCCGGTGAAATGTGGTATAGCTTGGTCGATGTAGCTCACCGCTGTGATGCGGCCTCCTCTCCCTGGACCAAGGTTCTGGAACATAACAGGACCTCTCGTTCAGGACTATTCACCCCCCATACCATGATGCTTGCACCTCCCCGTGAGTCTCTTTCACACACATTGGTCTGAGTAACGCTGGCCACGTCGTCGCCATATTCTTGTTCTGCCATCTGCAGTTGATACGCAGTATCTACTGAACAGAACAGTACTCCATTGCCAGTATCGCCAGTTTTGGTGTTGTAGGGCAAACTGTAGACGTTCACGCCGATGACGAGGGGTGAGGATAGGTCCACGGTAAGGTCTACGGCAATGGAAGTTCCCGCTGTTAAGACGTCAGCGTACTGTATCAGTACTGATTGTTCTTCCATGTGTTCCCACTGTCTCGCGTGCTGTTTCGGATGCATGCATGAAGGGATTCTGTACATGCTGTCACACATGGCGGTTGTCGCCTTGTGGTCAGCCTTGGTCTGCCAGTACGGGGGCGATCATTTGTGGTGTTGGTGGCCAGGAAACGTTGCTGCAGCCTTGAGATGGTCCGAACGTTGACCTGGAAGTGATTGGCAACGGCTTGTGCAGTGTGGCCAGCTTCAAGTCTTCCTAACGCCTGGTTCCTCTGAACTGTCGTGAGTCGCGGCATCCTGCTGACGTTGTAATGTGAATGTTTCAACCAGGTTTGGGGGGTGCATTTTATAGGGCTGGTCCTTGTGAACAGCACGTGCAGCATATGTTGCATGAAAAACATGGAGAACACCGTACCATCTCCGAGATCAGGTTGCGTTTTTGAGACCACTTCCTGGGTTCCATTCTGAGTTTGGGAAGGAATGTCTTTGCTCAGGTAATGTTGGAGATGTTGTCAATCAAAACATTAAATGAGTTTACAGTTATCCGTTTCTGCGAAGGACAATTCCAAAATGACGTTTCTTTTGCTGCTTGGTATATATAACTTGGATTCAGTGAGTGACAAAAATCACGAAAACCTTTACCTTTACGTTTAGTTTAGAGTTATCTCCCTTTGTCGGGTACTCGAGTCCTGGAATTTGGACTCGAGTCTTGCCGTACCCGACCCGTTGCCGGGTAC